TGAGTGCAGTAAAATGTTTATGTTGTCTATCCCTTGAAATAGACATATAATGTTAATCAGCATTTAAATAACCTCAATTTGTGTAGGTGTTGCAATAAAAGGTTACAGGTTCATATATCAAATTTTATAAAGCCTATTCTGTATATGTGATATGCTGTATTGGTTTTCAACTTTTTTCCTGTTCTGCTACAAAAACAGAAAAATAACGAAGGGACAAAGGTAAAGGGGAAGAAATTGATATTAAAGTGTGTTAAATGAAATGGGCTGCTGTTAAGATTTTGTGGTTGTACACATTGAAAACAGTAGTTAAAACGATGATGATGACAGTAATGAAATCTATTCATTAAGATTTGGGAAACATAACTGTAACTTCACTGTGATCAATTTGTGTTTTAAAATTTTGGATTGGCAGACTCTTCAAATTAAAATCTTTTCACTTCCTGTTTTTGAACCAGAAAAACTCACTGCTAATTATGAAGGAAACAGGTCAATTGTGGTTATATATTTTGTGATATGGAAACTTTTTTGACAAAATGTGATTAAGAGTGACCTTGTTTCAAACTTGAAAAATTCTGTCAAATTCTGATGGACATATTGAATACTGTTATTAAAGTTGAAATCTCTCTAATCTCAAAATTCCTCTAAATATAAATTCTTCAAGAGGATTTGTAATCCAAATCATTAACGAGTTTCCAATTCTTACTATGGCTAGAAAATGGATCTAAGAACTAATTAGAAACATCTATTAACAAGTGAAATAATTAAAAACATCTTGTAAGCAGTAAAATAATGTTCAATGATTGAAGTGTTCAATAATTGATATGATTTTGACCTTTCAATAATTATTGTTGTAGTGGGATTATATATAAGTTATTGACTGTGTCACTGATAAGATATGGTCTATATAAGAAGAGTCCATTGTTAAATACTTAGACACGCCACAAATATCACATGGTATTTTTTTATTGCACTGAATGTTTTGGAAAACTGAAGTTTAGGACCTGTTGCATATTGAAGTTATTATTGCATACCCGCATTTAATAGAGTTTGTGCATCTGTAATTTCGTATGGAATATGAGTGAACAACTTAAGTTAATGATAAAAATTGAAATTTGACTTCTATAGTCATTAGTGAATGTGAACCTAAGTTTAATACAATTCTGTATGGAAAATAATGAAAATACAAACTGATAGTATTGTTGTTGTTTGTATAAACTGACTTTAATAGGACTCATTTGATTACAACAAGTTGAAAACAATTGGTCCAATTTCCTGTTTAAACAATGAAATAAGTGAATATTTTAACATTTACTTTGACATTTACAATGTCTCTTGTGTTTCCGTTGTGAAAAATTATCAATTTATCAAAAGATAGTTGGAATTATCTGAGGGGGTTAAAAGGTTGTATTGCTTCACTAAGATATGCACTTTGTTAACTAGCTACACACGTCAACAGGAGTATAAGATTTCTTTGATATGGGCAGCTTGAGTGAAGAAGTTTATTCACCTGTGAACTAATTAAGCTATTTGGAATATAATAAGATTAATTAGATGTAAATATTTTAATTACTGTTATTGTTTGGTATGAATGTGATGTAATTAAGGTATTAGTGAGATTTTAAACTACAGGTAACAGTAGGAAAAAGTTTACGAGTGAATCAACAGGTTAAGTTTCTATATGATATCATACAGATAAAAATCATCTGCATTAAGAAGTAATATTGTCTATCGTGTAATCTTGAAGTGAAAATGTTGGGTGATTTTCTAACCGTACAGCGCAGGAATAGTGAGGATGATTTAAGTGATTGGGATGGACCAATTGATGTTGATTTATCAGAAATTCAACCAAGAACCACTAATAATGTAAGTTGATGCACAATCTATTTCACATTTATATGTTAAAAATATCAAAACTGAAATAGTTGTGGTTTTGAAGATACAGAGATCACTGGCTTGAAGAGATTGTTAAGAAGTTTTTTAAACTTTTAATGTATATTGGGGACAGTAATAGCATTGATTTGCACCATTCAAATTTATATTCCGATGCCTGTGGGTCTTGCAATTCCACAAAAACTAAGCGTATTATTGAAAAGCCCTTAGATAATATTGGCAGCTTTTGCAATTGTAACATCAAAAAACACTCACTTTTAGTGGAATTGCAAGACCTGCAGATATATTAAAATTAGAGTAGAGTAAATTCATCCCATTAATGACCCCATTCCTATAAATTTCTTAGAAAGACCTCTAATGTATCAGTAAGTCCCAACTCTTTTATTTAAAGATGAATTATACAAAATTCTCCATCATTTTGGAGTCATGGTTTCATTGGTGCAATTTTTGAATAATGAATTGGATGATATTAACCTTTCAGTAATGAATAATCCAGGGTTTATATTTAATCTGTTAATTAAATTATTAAAACACCCTTCCCAACCAACAAAAGAACTTTTCATTCATTTAATTCTTTAATCTTTGTTTGCTGTGTTTCCGTAGTGTCTAGATTTTTAAAAAATTATATGTGATTCTAATTATGCAAACACTCGTTAACATCTGAAACAGACTTTTAATCAAAGACTTAAACTCCAGCAAAAAGTTAAACAGACAATTCACCAAAGAGTTGAACAGACAGACACTCAAGCATTGTCTTGAACAGACACTGTTCCTCAGTTTAGAAATTAAATTGGTATCTGGTCATATTGAGGATGTTGAAGATTGTACACTCAGTTCATTTTACACTTAACTATTATCAGACTATAATAGTAATAGTAGTATGTATTAATTACTAATTATCTATTCCATGCTACATCAGCTGTTACCTGTATTTTCATGTTTATTGAAATGCTAAAATAATACAGTATAATTAGAGTTGTAGATATTATAGAATATTATATTGGATGATTTGATAAGGACAGATGTTACTTTTAAAAATCACTGAGTAGAAAATGCATGGGTTTTTTTTTCAAGCCATCCACCTACACTATCATTTAGTAATGCATAAAAAACAGGTTCCTGTAGGATTTTAATCAACCTGTTTTTGTAGAAGAGATCTTGTTAGTGTGTATATGCCTGTAGAACCTGCTGAATATGGGTAGATGTATTTCTGAATAAAGCGTTTGCTCAAAAGATAGAGTCTTGTTAGCGCTTTCAATAATACATATTACTTTTCATTAATTGATGTAAGTTTTTGTAAAATTGCAGAAAGTATGAAAAATGTTACAACTAGCCTCGGTCTCCCTTAGAAATAAAACTTAGAATAATAGTTAATAATAAATAATATATTTGCAAAGTATTAACTTACATACAATACAAATACATTATCTAAACAATGAAATAATAGTAATTCTTTTTTATAAAAAAAACTTTGAGAACTGATAATAATCTTTCATTGAAGAGGTTTGTAAAGAAGTTTTCTAGTTTTATTTTTTCTATTTGCATCATTCCAATTTTCTGTCAGATGTCTATGATTAGTGTATTTATAGAAATGCCTAACCATATAATATATATGACATCACCATCATCAAAGATGTTAATAATACTTATATCTAGGGCCTTTGCTGTAACTATGTAAAAAAAAACCTCTTAATTGTATCATTGCCTACTATGTGTCTTTTTAAATTTTTTGTGAACATTACTTAGAAATAAGTGAAAAAAGAATTTTCAATGCCTTCTTTTGATTTCTTGGCTCAAACCTTATGCTATTTTAATGTTTATTGAACTATTGTTGTGTATATATAAATTGAACAATTGAAGTGTTTGTTATTATAATTGTTAAGAAAAACACCTGAGGGTTGTGTTGAAATTAAACTAGGTGACCTAGTATTGTTAGTAGTATTACTACCGGTATATCATAGGACAAGATGGGCTTGTGTATGAATGATTCAAATGACTATAGTATGCAATGATAATGACGTAGATGACATAAATTTAAATGAGTAAATTATATCTATCGTGACTATGAATGAATAGACTACTAATCATCTGTTGACTTCAACTTCAATATAAATATATTAACATGTGTGTCTTCAAACAGATCTGTGCTCACATTATGGGATATTTAGAAAACTGTCAAAATAAGGAAAAGGATTTGAAATATGTTTCGGTAAGAGTACATATAATTAATTACAAGACAGTCAGTGACTATAGTCAACATAGTTCCATGAACAAAAAACTCCTTTCAAATTCTACAGGAAAATTAGTCTGTGAAATTTCCTATGAAAAGTGTTTGAAACTTTTTTCTTTTTACCAAAACAACACATGTGTTTTATGTCCATGGCATTGTAAAACCAACATACTACTTTGCAATTTCTGATTTTTACAATGTTCGAGAGACCTGGCAAGAAGATGAAAATATATTTATATGATGATACTGTTATGTCATGTATAGTATTAAAAATCATTATATGTAATAAGTAGGAGTTAATCATTATCTGTATCTGGTCAATGACTTTTGATAATAACCAAGTATGGAGATTGGCATCAGGTGTACATAGAATAGTATTTCTTTTAAATCAATATATTGAAGTATATCTATTTAACTCTTAAGTAGGATGTAAAACTCCGTTCATTCATTCCATTCTGTTAGCTCAGCTATACTATGTAAAAATACATTTATAAAAGCAACCCACCTGCCTTGATTTTTGAAGGGTACTTTCATATTTCCTTCAATGAATTCAATAATTTGATACAGAGCAGTGTTCTGTAAGACTGTGCATGCATAATTTTTATAAGTTTTTATTGTGATATGATATATATTTAAAAATTTTAAACCACAAGTTGGATTTGATAATTCAACCAGTTCAATAGGTTGACAGAAACTTATTTTCAATGATATAAATAAATCATTTCCATTATGGTTGTGAAAATTGAAATAGAATTTTTTAAATCCCTTAAAATTTGGGTAAAAGCAGTATTTAAATCTTTTTATTGTATTTGCATATTTTAAAATACTATTTCAATGTGAAATCAGGCATGATATTGTCATCAATTCTGTCAATTTTTAAATGAAACCTTTCTATTTTCAGCAAAGTTCATGGAAGAAAATTCGTAGTATTATAAGATGGTCTCCCTTTGTTCAGGTGTTTAAAAAGAATAGGTATCCATGGATACAATTAGCAGGTCATCAAGGTAATCTTATTATTATTTTAAAGTTACCAACTACCATGCAATTGCTTGGAAATCAGAAATCAAGATGTTTTTGTCTTCTGTTCAACAAGAGAAAAACTGGGGTCTGTTCCAGAAAGCAGAAATTTCCAAAATTTCTCTAATTTATAATAGTGAACACTGCTTCAACTCTGTACCACTGCCTTCTGTTGAATAGTAACTTGTTACCTTTCAACCATCCATATCTCTAACTTATAATATATTTTTAATATTACAGGTAATTTTCAAGCAGGTGATGCAGGTTCAGTATTAAAGAAATTAGACAAGAGAGAACAGAACTGTTTTAAAAAAGTAATGGAGGATATATTACGTCCCTATGTTCCTGAATATAGAGGTGATGTTGAGCATATGGGAGAGAGTATCCTTTTTATCAATATAACATCAACTAGACATCTAAGAGAAACTTCAGCTAATATAATTGAATAAGAAAAATTTATTTGCATTTATCTTGTGCATGCTCAGATCACATAGCTTTTTCCTCACAGTAATTGATGCAGTTAAAATGTTTTCATTGACTCCTTAACCATCTGTACAGTGTATCTACAATTACAAGATTTATTATGTGAATTCAACTCGCCGTGTGTGATGGATATTAAGATGGGAGTTAGAACGTATCTAGAAGAAGAATTGAGTAAAGCCAGAAAAAATCCTAGTTTAAGAAAGGTAATTGAGAAATTGCATTTCTACTACTTAATGATAATTCCCAGATGAATGGAAAGAAAGAAGAATTTAATTGTTTGCCAGAGAAATGGAAGAATGGAATTGTAAAATCCTGTCTACCTAGAAACATTAGATATCTAAGTATTTTTGATGATATTTGGAAGCTAAAAATTTATTTTATTGCTTATGATAATTTGACTGACAGGTCAATATTTTGTGATATAAGATCTGATAGGGTCAACTCAACTAATATTTGTCTGACATAATCTGAACTATATCTATATTAAATGTCCAGGTTTGGCAAAATATCAAATTTTCATTGACACAGCTATATCATAACAGGTTTTGACTGAACAAGTGACATTTTTAAATGGCTTTTATTTTGATGTTATATATTGCTATCTAAATATTGGCTTAGTTTGACATTAATATCTTGATGAAATATAATATTTACATAGGATATTTCACGCATTCGAGCATTGATAACACAATCTTTAAGCCACAATATGACCCATTGACCCTTTTTGACGTCAAGCTTTTAGATATGTGTAACAGAGGATGTATTTATAGTAGTATATTTCAATATTAAACATGAGTCTCTTCATATTGACATCTGTAAATAACCGTGTAAGAAGAATGAGAAATTAATTACGTTTGAAAATGTCCTAAAGGGATTGACCTGTATATCCTTACCCCACCTTGCTCTGATTATTTACTCTAATAATCATGATGTTAGTCAGTCATATTTCATTATAATTATTACAACACACTGCTAGAATTACATTTACTTAATCTTAAAATCTGTTTATATTTATTTACGGTAACTGATTTTAAAAACGAAGTTAAAAAGAATAATAAGAAATAGCAACTTACAATGTTGTTGACACACTTAAAATAATATTTAAGGAACTGTGCTTCAAGAGGCAAGGTAATTTAAAAGTATAATATCTAAATCCCTGACTAAGGTCTATTATGATAACATTGGTAGAAAGATAAGATGATAAAAGACCAAAAGTCAATAATGAGGCTTAAGATAATGAAACTTGAGTCAAAATAAACCATTTATGCCTTGTTTTGTGTGTCCAAAAACCCAACATAATTTTCAAAAGCAAAATGACTGTTAAAATGATGGTGATACCAATTATGATACAATTTTATGACATCTTGGTTACACAAACACTTATCTGTCAAGTTAAATCAATTATGTGGCCTGTGGAAACCCTGTTTTATCAGTTGATACCATACGAATTGTAGGATATGTATCAGAAAATGATAGAAGTTGATCCCAATGCCCCTACTGAAGAAGAACACCAGCAAAAAGCTGTTACAAAGCCTAGGTATATGCAATGGAGAGATGAAATGAGTTCCTCAGTTAACTTAGCATTTAGAATTGAAGGTGTTAAGGTAAGATTACAAAAAGAATTTAATCTTACCTAAGACACTTATTAAGAGGATTGTTATGTGAGATTACATTATTCTATGTTTGATGAGAGTTTCATCCCATTGGCTAGATTGTATTGTCTCATAATCATAATGTACTGGATACAGCCAGAAAACTTATATTTTTCTCTCTGCAAGAAGTTTCTACTTGGGTAATTACGAATCTGATCACCTTGAATTTGTCATCTTTGTTTGTACTAGAATGAAAGGCTTGACATTGAAATATATAATTAGATTTTCATGATTGTCAAAACCATTCTTATTTTATCTGTAATGTGTAGTTTAGTATAATGTGTTGTAGTTTTATATGTGTTTTACTGTAATATGTGTTATACACAAACAGGATTGGCTTATGTCACACAATGTTTACCTACAAACTTTGTGCGGAATGACTTGAAAACAAAATCTCTAATATCTAGTTTTTGAAAAAAAAAGAATTCAAAGAAATATAGATGTAGAGCCTATTTAGATATTTTTGCATTGCTCAAAATGAAGTTTTAGAAAGTCCACTTAGCACTGTTCTATAAAACAAGTAGAAATTAAAAAAATAATAATTATAATAAAAATGATAATTAGACAAGTTTTACTCCGACATCATTGCTGAATTAATTCACCACCTCAAATTAAAAGTTATGATTTGATACAGCCTGAAACAGACATATATATATAATGTATTTTTTTATATGTATTATAGAAAAGTGATGGGGCTTCCAGTAAAGATTTTAAAAAGACAAAAACCAGAAATAAAGTGAAAGATACATTAATAAGTTTTATTGGTGATAATACAGATATGCTTGTAAGTTGTCTTGAAAGTAGACTGATCTTTTTGACATACTCAAAAGGAAATATTTTCCCCTGACATCTTTCACTCAGTACTAATGTCTTTGTACACAAGTAACCATCTTATGCATTTGTCAACTTATTCTACAGAGTTGAATTCATCATCAGCACAGCTAGATTTGAAATGCAGACTTGATCAAAATTTTGATGAACAATCTAGAAAAAACACCAAAGCAAGTTTATCAGTATTTTTGTTTTTATTTCAGACCAAATATATACAAAGGTTGAGAGCAATAAGAATAACACAAGAATCTTCCGAATTTTTTAAAAGACATGAGGTAAGAATATGTGGATTTCATGTTTGTTTGCACTACCAGCTTTTCGTCTTACTTTTCATTACCAAGCTTATTTTTGAGTGACATTGGAACATATCTTTTGTTAAGTTTTGCTGTTATATTTTACTGGGTTTCAGAGACATTTCTTTTATATTACAGGTGATTGGAAGCTCGTTATTATTTGTTCATGATGAATCTGGTAACGCAAGTGTGTGGGTAATAGACTTTGGTAAAACAGAATCCATACCTTCTAATATAACTATCGATCATAGATCAGAATGGATTGAAGGCAATCACGAGGATGGTTATCTAACAGGACTGGATAACCTAGTGTCAATATTAGAAGAGATCGAAAATGAATTGTGATTTAATTGTGATGTTTGAATGTTGATTGACATCTGTTTGAACAGGTTGTGATGTGATAAGTTCATTCTATGTTGAAGGTCAATTTGAATGAAGTGGTGAATAAATTGTTGACCAGTGAAAGATAAACACTACTCAATAAACAAGGTTTCATTCATTGAAGTACATGTGTCCATGACAGTTTTTTATTGGATAAAGTGCTATTTTTCATCTATTCCTCCATGTCTAAGAAAAACTTAATATTATTTCTATGTATTTCATTTTTACCCATTTTTGTGAATTAATGAACTATGTAACGTTCAAATTCAATTTTTAGCAAATACACTAAAATAGTGCAGACTAGAATTCAGCTATAATAATACAAAATAAGTTGAGTTGTTTCAACAGTCTACCTCAAGAATACTTTCATGCAAAGTTAGACTCCACTGAATCTGGCATATTGACATTCATGTTGTAAATTCAAAGTTAATAGATTTGTCCTTTACATAATATTGATTATCATTATTAGTAAGCTCATTGCTGAAAATGTGCTAATGGCTATATTATAATTATAATGTTCAATTATCTATTATTATCATTAGAGCTAATATTTCATTCACATTACCATTTTATCACATATATTGAGCTATATCATTATGAAGGAAGGTTGTTGATCATAAACTTATATATACTACAATGAGCATCAACTGTGATGTAAGTCATTGTTACCAGATTGCAAGAGGTTGTTGAAAGGGATATCTGATTTTTGTTTTAATCTGATTCTGATTTACACTAAATCGAAATTTGAAATAACAGAATCATCAATTATCCCTAATATACATGCATGTTAAGGCTAAAAGACCTCTATTATGCCTTGAAGTTTCTAAATGACATTGTATCTATCTTGAAGGCCTAACCTTGATGCTCATTCATGTCATATTCCAAAATAATTCATCTGACCAGGCTTTTTGCTGGACACAGATTAAATTTTTTACAATTCAACCATGTATCAGGGTAGTTATCTTAAGGAATGTCAGGTTTTTTATGTGTTCTGAATCTCATTGCCTTAAATCTCCACATTTCATCAAAAGATGGCTTCCATTTTAGTTTATACAATTTTCATAAAAATGAAAACAGCCTTGTGTAGTGCTTAATAGGATCTTATTTTCTTTACAACAACTACTTGTTAAATATATATTAGCCTAATGGCTTTGTTTCTGTACATTAGAACAATTTCTACTTCTAACTGTGTTTCATTCAACATATAATATATTTCTGAATGTTCAATAAATTTCTACTATGATTTCCAAGTGTCTTGATTTTATAGTTTTGTGGTCACATGCCGATAACCCTATCACAATAAAGACTGTCCCTGATTTTTTGCCAATAGAAGAAAATAATGAGTGTGAACTGTTGTTGGAAATATCATGGAAAATAGTTAACTGTAGTCTTACCAGTGTGTTCAGAAACATTGTTACCTCCCATTAATTGAAATAGTAAATGTGCATACTGTTCATCTTTCTATATATATTATGGAGCTGAACGAAAGAATAGCAAAGTCTCAAAGAAAGACTGCAATTCCATGGACAGGACAAAATCGGACCGCATTAATTTCATTTTATCATTTGTCAGCATTGTATTACTTCATTTACTTAAGCCATTTCAATATCAAAACTTGAAACACTAGGAAACGATAATTATAGGCCTAGATTGTTTTTTTTTTAATTTTGGGTTATGAATGTTGACATTATCTCTTTAAAGACAGCCTGCGTGGCAAGGTAACATACGCCCACTGGCAGCTGTCAGAAATGATAAAACAGTCTTTAGTGACTAAAGTAAGAATTTCTCATATTGAAGAAATTTTATTAGTTCAATTATATAAACTAGTGTCCAAAAGAAACGATACCAACTTATTTTCAAAATTGTTTTTTACTAAGTGAATTGTCTAATATGAAAACATGCCAATTCGTATTGCACATCCCAAACATAGCATAGTCGATAAAAATACCGGGAACACGTGATCACTTCCGGGAAAAAACGTAAATTTCGTGAAAGTGACATTTCCCTCTCTAGCATGTTCTGCACGTGCATAAAAACTGTATAAAACGGCTAATCAGACACGTTGATATCACAGCAACAAAAAGAACACAAGATATGCCACGTTTGACAGCCATCGAGAGAAAGAGAGAGAGCCGTTGGAATGGTCCAACAAGGAGCGACACACGTCGACGTCGCCAAAAGGTTGGGCTGCGCACGCATCACTATCACCAGGTTGATGCAGCGGTTACGTCAGACAGGTCAGACGTCAGACAGGCCCAGGAGTGGAAGACCACGAGTAACCACGCCCCGTGAAGATCGTTACATCCGGGTATTACACCTGAGGAACCGCACCTTAACAGCGACGTCCACGGCGGCTACAGCACTGGGACACATGATCAGTCGACAGACCGTCTACAGGAGATCACGGCAGTATGGTATCCGGCCACGTCATCCCTACCGCGGACCGCTCCTGACGCCTCGACACCGGAACAACAGACTGATCTGGGCCAGGCGAGTTCGACGTTGGTAACAGCGGGACTGGGCACGTGTTATGTTCTCTGATGAGAGCAGATTCCTCATCTTCAAAAACGATGGACGGCAGCTTGTATACCGACGATTTGGTGAACGTTTGGCGCCTAACTGTATCCAACAGGTCCGGCCGTTTGGAGGTGGAGGGTTAATGGTTTGGGGTGGCATATGCGGTGACGTCAAAACGAGGCTTGTCGTGGAAACCTGAATGCACAGCGTTATATTGATGACATCCTACGGCCTGTTGTGGTGCCCTTTATTCAGCAACAGCCTCGTGGACTCCTTTTCCAACATGACAATGCAAGGCCACACACAGCAAGATTGAGACAGAACTTCCTTGCCAACACCAACGTACAGGTTTTGCCATGGCCCGCATGTTCACCGGACATGAATCCCATCGAGCACTTATGGGACCACATCGATCGGCAAATCCGACGTCGCCGTGTGCCTCCAGTCAACGTCCAGGACTTGGAACGATGTCTCCTCGAGGAATGGCAACGCATCACTCCCAACGTCATCAGACGTTTGACGGCATCAGTCCGTAGGCGTGTTCTGGCATGTATTGATGCTCACGGTGGACATACCCGCTACTGACTTGACTTTGTGACGTGGTGTGACATTTCCCGATGTTTCTGTGATCAGTGCTCTAACGAAATGTTCTTTTTTCGACCCCACCCATCTTTAAAGGCTTGTCATATTGGTTGAACAGATTTTATTGAAATGAAATTTTTGTACAGATGTTGTGAAAGGATTTCTCAAAAGCATAACACCACTCCTAAACTTCTGCATTGTTTAGTTTTTCTTTTATGTCGTTGCAAACAGGTGGTATCGTTTCTTTTGGACACTAGTTTATATTTATTTATGCTGAGTAATTCCACAATTTTTTTTTAAAATCAATATCAATAATCCAAATACAACAAATTATTAAATCACATAGCTCTAATCAAGGCAAAAAAACTCAAGGGAAATAACTCTAAAACCGTTCATCGAAAATCATCAAGTTAAAACTTGTACACAATCTCATCAATATAAATGATCACACCAAATTTCATTAAAATCAGTTGAAAGCTGTAGTCTCTGTTGTCAACATGTCAACTCGTTGACAAAATTTCGTTGGTTAACTTGTCTACAAAAGTTAACTCGTCCACAAAAGTTAACTCGTCTACAATATTTGCCGAGTCAACTCGTGAACAAAAAGTTCATATGATGAGGAATTAAGGTTTTCATATAGAAGAATTTTTAACTACCTTCATTATAAAAGACTTCTGATCAAAAGGAGACAATAAAATTTAACGATTAAATTAGGATCGATATGATTTTACTTTTTCAACATTATAGCTTGTAAATATGTCTATAATGTCTAGAGTTGTTAATTCTCTAATAAAAAAAGAATCGCAAAAGAGGCCTCCGTACCTGTTACGCCAAAGTCAAGGCATGAAAACAAGGTTCATCCAAGTACAGTTGCCTAGTATGCCTCATTATATTTGTTTACATCTTTTGTTTCTAGTAATTGTAAATTGAGGCAACTAAATAAGCTAATTAGAAACCTGAGATAAATGCCATTTTTTGTGCACACTACTAATATTATTAACCTACTGTTCTGATTGTAGACTGTAGAAAATTGCCATCTAATGTCAATGACCTGGATGTATTGAAATATGGTTGTTAAGGCAATGCTGGGTATGCTTTAATGTGGCTTGCAATAATCAATATTTAACAACATTGTCAATTTGCATTTTAGGTCTAGGCCCTGCCTGCATTCACCTTCAGTACTGCTTCGGTGTGCCATTACAATTCTTGAGATGTAGACCTATGTAGTGCATTTCTTTGAGTAAGACAGTTAATTGGCATTTCATCTAGGTCTTGAAACCATTTCCCCTCTGAGCATAATTAATTTATTTGCAGCACGTACCAACGATCCGAACTTTCCCCTACACCTGTCACGATTTTGACCTATATAAATCACGTGACTTAGATCGTAATGGCAAATCATAGATGTGTTAATTTTATAACTATGTGGCAAATGACATGAATATTCACGCAGATACATCGACGTAGTAAAAGGTTTTCTTTCGGAATCCAATAAAGAGGAAAAAGTGTGAGCAGTTAGTTATTTAATTTATTCAGTGAAATAAATGCTATCGGTATGTTATGTAGGTTTTGTCATGTTGAACTTCGCTTGTTTATTGTCCAGTTACAGGCTTATGGGGAGACTAGGTAAATTGTCGTTCATTAGGGTATCAATGAGCATAATGTCATATTATTGCTAATGGGCATCTAATCTAATGCAATGTCCGAAGGATTTGATTTACAAATCTATGTGTATTTCTTATTTACTATATTTAGCTAAAAAATTTTATTGAAACAGAAGATGTATATATTTGAAATATTATTGAAGACCTTTGCAGTAGGACATAAAACTCCATTCATTTTATTTAAGACCTCAATCAGGATGAGCTGCCTTTTATAGTAGGCCTACTGCTAACAAGTTGACTATATGAGGATATGTAATTTTCATTTACTAATATCTGAATTTTCCTAACTTCAATCACAACTGACACATGGGACAAATAACAGATTATGAAATTTGTGTTTTAGGTCATGCAACAAGTTTGAATATAAAAATGACAACATATTCAGGTATCCATGAAGATGATGACAGGTTATCTTCGAAATGGAAACACCAGAAAATGCAAAAATATATTCCCAGAAAACCAGGTAAAGAACAAAGTGTAATTAGTATATCAACTAATCACAAATATGCTGTTTGGTACAGTATTTTTGCATGAAGTGTATTCAAAATGTTTTGTAGTCTATGTATGTGAAATTGAGGCACTTACAGTTATAGTTTATTTACATTTTCTTTTAAATATCTATGATGCCAGTGATTCCATAAATATATGGCTAGATTATGATGTAGGTAGGCACCACTTTAACTAATACAAATTCATTTCAAAAGGAATTTGACTAGCTTACTCTCTCTGTTCTGTATATCATTATAAAAAGAGAAAGCTTATGAAATTCAAGAAATACTCGAATATCTGTACTTATGAACCCTGACTATCCTATTTGATTATTGGCCCAAGCCATGAAATGACAGTGAGAGTAGTTTCAATTGTCCATCTCTACAAATTAATCCTTATTTTTTCCAGACTCTGTGATAAGTGAGAGTGGTTATAGTAGTAGTAATAGTAAAGATAGTTTTCAGGTCTCAACCATCCCATCTACATCACATTTCCTACATTCTCCTTCCATTCAAGGTATGTAGGCCCCTATCACGTTTAATTTTATTAAGTGCAAAGGTATTTGGTTGCGAATTCATGTTATGAATTAATAGGTCATTCAAGTAAAACTAATGTCAGAATTCAAGAGGTTTTCTCAAAAAGATATTGTATAGTTAAATTAAAAAGATAAAATTTTCTCAATAAATTTGATAATTTTCCACCAATGACATCAGTTAATTCTTTTTAAGATACCGATAGTGATGATGTAGCTGCTGAAAGATATACAGAGTATAAAGCGACGGTAGAGGAGGTAAAATGAAACATGTTATTCACTTTCAATTCGACCTCCATCAATATTATCTCTATTCTGAAATTACTTATGTGCAGAGATCTAAACTAGCCTTCCAAATATCTATACATTTCCTAACCAATCTTCAAATTACAAAAGGATCTGCCTTATGTATTTCATTCTCAATGTATCACTCATATAGTAATGTATTTCATTCATATTACAGTCAGTTCTTGATTATTTCAGGAATTTCAAACAGGTACTTCAAACAATCAGCAAGAGAATGAGTCCATAACAACTACTGAAATTAAACAACTAGAAAGCAATAACTGTGTTAAACTGAGTACAGACCAGCAGTCTAATAGTATACAATCATCCACAAATCATCAACTAAAGCTTCAAAGTAGTGCTCCTATTAAATTCAATAGACTTTCTTCTGGTGAAGATGAACAAAGAAAACAAAAACGTTTTAATCGTACGGCCAAGGCTCTACGTGACTCAGGACTTTTACCCATAGCAATACAAACTGGACATTTATTAAAGAAAAATCTTCTCTTACAGAAAGAAATTAATAAATTAAAGAAAGAAGCTGAATTATTTCGTCAATCTTTAGATAGTGAAGAAAATGTGTCTGAAAATACAGCTTCAGATAGCAGTAGTTCTGATTAGTTTAGAATTTGATTGTTTTATTATGGTGAATTCCCCATTATTTTATATTATGGTAACCATTAGAAAAGTGACATACACCAATCCAAATTGTGATCCAATTGTCAAGTCAAACAAAGCCAGGTTTCCGGTATCCAGTCAGGCCATTTCATCGGGCAAGCACTGAAACACATGACAATATGGACTAGGCTGATAGCCAATTAAAGAGGATTGTTAACAGGTTTTGTAAATTTTTTATGTGTATCAGGGACACTGATAGCATTAATATGCACCATTCCAATTTCATTCTATGGTTCTTGCAATTCCACTAAAACTAACATGTTTTAGTGGAATTGCAAGAACCACAATCCCTTTAAGCCTTTGAATATATTTGGCAATTATTATACTACTATGTTAGTAGCACTCAGGATACAATACACATACATTATTTTAGTAGAAAACTAAGTACCATCCTTATGATTTGCAAATTTTGTAGACTTGTTAATGTTGCCTGACTCCACATTAGAGATACTACATTCCAGCAATATTTATAGTCTAGCAAAGATATTTTTGCTCATCCAGGTCTGATTCAAAACATAATCATGGGCAGTTCACTTTATTTTTGGGTAGGATAAATACCCTAACTATGCAGACTTACATTGTGTTAATTACTACATAATAATTATCATAAAATTATTTGTTTGACTATACACGTGTCTTATAGGTCAGTTTGTAAAATGTGCTTTGTTTATCATTGTTGCAAAGTATGATTATAATTTCCTTGAATTATATGTCTTTCCTCAATATTTCTGTTATGGTCAATTCCAATATTCATATTTAAAAATATAAGCTAATAAATATTTGTTTTTTATTGTATTATTATTTATAATCTAACAAATTGAACTTTGCATATATCTGCTGATTTTTGTAAAAGAGATCCAACATATTTATTTGATAGAAATCTTATTTGTAGATATTTATGAGATTACTAGATTACTAGTTGCAATTATTTTATTAATGAGTAATTAAAGCTATCCCCTCCTAAACTTTTCTTTTCTTAACATGAGATAAAATTATTGTGGCTAACAATTTCTCCTGTTGAATCATTGCAAGAAACACCATTTGGAGAAAGATTCTTTTAACTATTGCAAGTTGTTAAAATGATTAAGAAAACAAAGGACCAATTAAAGATCTCATAGGTTAATGCGATTGATTAGGAAACAATACATGTAATCATTGCAATGAATTTCACATCTGGTATGAATATAGCAAATGATTTTGTCACTTTGACTTCTGTTCCAGGCTATGTGAACTTAGTCTCAAATTTCAAGATGCATATTTTAAACAGGCTATTATTTGAAATGATTTTGACAGCAGTTAATCCAAGATTACAAAAATAAAGATTATGATCTAGATTTAACCACCAGTTCATCATAACCAGTTTGACTGTCCATTTCTCTATTAAATTCTGTATGTTTACATTCACCAATTAGTATTTCAGCTGTGGTGTGCACTATAAGATTCCCAATAACATGACCACCAATCACCTTGCCTTCAACATCACTCAGTGAAATGTGTAGATGACCACCATCTCCACCACTTAATGTTCCAACCAATGAAACTATCTCAAATGGTCCTTTTATATCAATTATCTGCAACGGATCAAGTTAAATTAAAATAGAAATTGACTAATGCTGACATTCTGTGAAGAAAAATTATGTTTGTGTATAAATTTTATAGCTGACATCCTAAGTTATGCTTTTTCCATGTTGGCCTTCATGCTTATGGAAAAAGGGTTGAAAATTCCAATTCTCAACCTATGCTAGGATTTGGACCTGCAGGTAATTGAACAAGTCTCATATAGAGTTAGGTTCGAGTGTACACTAAATGATGGCTTCGGACAATGTTTAACAATGCCTTCTTGCAAAAAATCTGTTCAAAAACATTAAGGGTGCCAGTGGTAAATTACAATATGGGTAATGTTTTCTTTACCATAGATACCAAAAAGTACTAAAACACTATGAAATTCACCTTACCTCATCTGCATTAGCTAATCTAATGGTGGCTTGTGTAACACTGCCAACGCAAGTAAGAATAAAAGCTGCTTTAAGATGGTGTGTCTTGATATGTTCTAATAAACATGTTCTTATTTCTTGTTCAGGCTGTAGTCTTAAAGGATAACACATTAATGAACTCATCTGAAAACAACATACCGGTACTGTTTATATAGAAAAATATCTCTATAATTCTATCATATAGCTAACGCTAACTGCTTTTCTTTATTTGGCTATTATTTTTCTTTGTTTCATGATGAAATTCTACCGAGCTCCTTAATTCAATAATTCTTTCTGTGTATCCACATTCATCTAATCATGTTCCTTGTTCAGATTGTCCCAGTCTCTTGTTTATGTGTGTCTGTCCCTATCTTTTGCTCATTTTGTCCTTTTCTTTTGTCAAGATTTTGTCGCTGTCTCTTGCTCAGATTTTTTTGTCCAGTCTAACAACTTTTTACTGTCTAAGTTTTGTCCTTGTCTATTTTTAGTTTAGGTTATTCTCTTGTCCTTTGCTCATATTTTGTCTCTGACAATTTTTCACCCAGATCTTATTCTCTATTCAGATTTTGTCCTTGTCTCATGGTCAGATTTTGTCACTTTTTTTGATTCTGTCTTTGTCCTTTGATAAGAATTTGTCATTGTCTGACAACTTTTTACCCTGATCTTTTCCCCTCTTCCCCTAATCTCTTGTTTAGAATGTGTTCCTATCTTTTGTTCATTTTTCCCTTGTCTGTTGTTGAGATGTTGTCCTTGTCTCTTGTTAAAAAATTTTCCTTGTCTTTTGTTAAGTATTTGCCCTTGTATCTTGCTCAGATTTTGTCATCGACTTTTGTTCAGATTTTGTCACTTTCTCAAGTTTCCGACAACCTTTAACCCAAATCGTTAACTTGTCATCCATTTTCATTTTGTCCCACTCATCTAAATAGACTTTGTCATGGTCTCATATTTTGTCACAAGCACTTGTTTCTTTCAATTTTTCAACCGAAAACTTTTATTCAATTTATTCATAGTGTGTCACGTTACCAATATAATAGAAATATCACAACAGAAATCACGTGCTTATATACCAGAACTGTTACCCAGTAGCTTACATCTACTGACCTAATACAATAGTGGAGTCAATAGGCTTACGTATACTATCCCTTGGTTCTACAATGTGCAATTGACACATTGCACCTAGTTTCAATCAATAGTGTATCATTTGCCAGATTCAAATAGACTGTTAACCTATAAAAATCTTAGGCCTACCACTAACCTTTTAATAATAACCTTTTCATAAACTGTTATTATCAATATCTTCAAATTTGGACATACACTTAAAGCTATCATGCTCAAATTAGGTTCAAATTGATTATTTGACGAAAGTTATAACTTAGACTATCAGCCATCGGACCGTCATATTTACTAGTATCAGTAGCCTTGTCATACTTGTTGATGGGCCTAATAACTAAGTAATAGGCTACTTATAAATATATCTACCATCACTTTAATTTCCGATGTCGGTAATATACAAATATTTTACATCTAGAAAATATGTGATGAGCAAGACATTTCATTAATATGCAAGTTCTAAATGGTATAATCAAAAAAAATGGGTCTACTTATCAGAGTCTATTCCTGTTTTAGAATAGGCTATATTAAAATTATGTGGTCTGGGTTATTTAGATGCTTAAATAACTTAGCTTTTCAAGTTAACAAACTGCCAATTGCAACGATCAGAAAAATCACTATTTAACAAATGAATAAAATATCGAAACACTTGTGATATATAAACACATAATCTAATTTCCAATTCAATCTGGGTGACATCTTCGCAATGCCATTTTATTACAAACTTGTTCTTATATCTTGATTGCAATAGCCATTCTTTTGTAAATACAGACAATTGATTGGATTGTAATTTCTACGTAAAGGAATACAGCTTATCAGAGGCCTCAATCGAATAAACATTCCATGGTACATGAAAGGTGACTATTGCGGTCAAGGTATAAGACAAAGTTTGTAATATTATGTGACTTACAATTACAATGGATGATGGCAATATAGGCCTTGGTATATCCGTGTTTTCGCGTGGGCGTATAAAAATGGATTTTATTAAAAAAACTTTCTGTTTACCACAGAATATCGTAGAACAGAGACGTAAACAGGGTCTAAAAAGGGGGCCATATTGTAGGCCTATGTTATTATGGTCGAAATAGGGGTTCAGTTTCAAAGTTTCATCGTAGGCTCAATGCCCTCATGCTGTCTATGACGACTAGAGAACCGTGTTAGAAAATATTATATACACTTTTTTAAATGTTATTATTACCAAAATCAGAATCACTGAAACTAACCAATAGAAAAACTGATGGTTTTGAAAAGGAACAATGCTACAAAAATGAATTAGAGGATCTAAACATCTGGTCTCTTTGAGTTCTTATCTCCCAAATTACGTTTAATTTCTTAATGCTTCAATTTAATTTCATAAAATCTGAAAAATAACAGTTTTGATTTTTTCAAGAGAAGATTAAGTTAATGCCTCAGTCATTTCTGCTCTTTAATAGCCTGTAATCTCTTGGCCACGATTTTGTTGTTCTCAATGAATTTATTTAATAAATGTATTGATCTTATTACATTTCAAGTTTTGTTTAAAAAAAAAATTCATAATTAAAGCTATATGTTATCATTTAAAAATATCTTAAATAAGAATCGTGATTTTAGAAGAAAAGTATTCTTTAACAAAGAGTTTCATCCGAGTTAAAGAAATTCTACAATAAATCATCAACGCCTTTTGTAAGAAAATCCACGAATTATCATCATTTTTTGGTTCTTCAATCCTATAAATTGGACAGTGATAAATTGAAATATCATTTTCTGTGTAACCGTCATGCAGCATGCACGAAGGTATAAATTACGTCTTATAAGCAAAAAGGATAGTTTTAAGACGTTACATTCTGAATGGTATGTTGATTTTTTTCCTTTAGAATTCTATAAGATATTGTAATATTGTTTGGCTTCCAATTGATAATTAGACGTTGATGGAAATATTCGAAATAGATTTTTACGTATAATTTTATATGAAGATGTAATAGCTTATTTTATTAATCAAATCTTGAAATAAAATGGATACCAAATTTCATTGATTTAAATTAAAAAGAGTAATTTATTTGAACAAAATGACAAGTTTTACTGATTGGTGAGTTTCTTCTTCAGATAAAAGTAAACGACCAGGCTAGGCACTTCAGCTTACTTTTTTATATCCACAGTTGTGTTCAGCACAATGTGCATATAGATTTTTTGAGCATGACCAAGAGTAGGTAGGAGCTTATTTTCCAAAAGCGGTAGAAGCCTGGTATTTCTCGATGGTACCAGCTTCATATGTCGATTAAGTTAGGCCTATGTTCGTGGAAGTTCATATATTTAGCGATGCCGTCGGCATCAAAAACACAAAATTAACTTCATGAATATGGGCGAGACCAATAAAATCAAGAATTCTTATAGGCTAGTCAGGGTTTTCCGGACACGGATTCTTAAAACTATATTGTTAATTTTGTCAATTTAATACATGCCATCTGATTTTTTGGTGTAATGTTTTGGGGGTTTTATGTTTTGCCAGTATGCTATCGTCTTACAGTACAAGTGACATAATGACATTTGCGATCAATGGTAGGCTCAATTAATTTTATCGTTTCACAATCCAAGTGGCACATTTACATTTGAGATCAATAAATGAATGCTATCATATTACAATACAAATGGCATAATTACATATAAGATCAATGGTAAATTAATGCTATCGTGTCACAACCCGATAGGCAAAATTACATTTGAGATCTATGGTAAATTGGTGCTATATTTATATTTTAGACCAATAGTAAGACTGTTATAATTACATTTTAGATTAGAGGTAAGTTAAATTGGTAGGCCTATTGTTTAATGCGGTCTGGGGTAGGCCAAAAGAGTTTTTTTTTATGGTATGTGCAAGAATACACTTTTTGTATCTACATAAAGAATATACACCTAATTAAGAAAACATAAATGGTTGTCGTGATTACAGAAGACCTTTTAGTCTCGTTAATCATAAGATGTGCACCTTCTGAATTTTTATCTAATCTAAAAAAAAATCCAATTATAACTTCTAGGGTTCTATTGTTTGATTTATAGAGCGGTAGATCACAAAGGGGTTTATTTTTCTTATGTATATTTATCTAGTTATATGAATTATGTGTGTGTGTGTATTTCTCATGAATGAAACAGCATATCAATAACCTTTCAGTTTGTTGCACGGACAATTTGCAATAGTGTTTTTCAAGACATCACTGGAAAGTTCTTCAGGCATGGAGCTGAAATTGTGAAAAATATTGATGGACATATGGACATATTTACGTTTGATTAAAATTCGTTAAGTATGAGTTATAAATACAGAAAGTTCTACTAAGAGAGTTGAAGTAACTCGGTAATTATCTATTCAATAATTAGCGATTAACTTTAATTATCTGTGGTAGATCCAGCTACATCCAAGAGATCAACAGCCCTAACCATGTTACCAAGCTGCAGTCATACAAAAATAGTGGCCAGTTGTAATTTATATCGTAAGCTGGTTAGATGTTTGTTTGTAGGCCTATCTGAAAAGTTGATATGGCAAGACAAGCAAATCAATGATAATATTATTGTTGTCTGATGTTTATATGAGAGTGGACTCCCTTTTCCCGCGCGTGCAACTGGAGATTTGGAGTATTCATTGTTGAAATGGTATGCTAGAAACGAAATCGCTTGTTGAATTGAATTTTCGAACAATGTAAATATATTACATATTCTAGTATATATGATAAAGTATCTGTTTGATAGTGTAATGGTTTCATAATGTAAATAAAAAAAATCAATGCCCAGTTTCTATTGCAAATGACTTCTCCATAGATATCTTGAAAGTAAACAAACATGTCGGAACTGAAGAAGACAGAAAATGTGCCAGAAATTCAGATTAATGATGCCGAAGGCGTCTCCATGGTAGAAATTTTAGAGGAAGAAAACAGATTGAAAGCAGATGCCGCAGCTGTACTTGGTGCAAGTGATGATAAGAATTGCACTTATGATCAGGTACCGGTAATGTTAGGCCGTGGATATTCGCCACCCGGGTGGCGAATAGTCCACGTCCATTAATTTGACTATTCGCCATCCGGGTGGCAGAAAAATCTCTAAAAATTCATAAAATGTCAGCCTTTTTGATATAACTGTTTCTTTCAGTGACATATTGACTCTGAGTAATTTTTAATGGATTTTGTCAGGTTCAGACAAGACCGTGTTAATATAAATTTAATTTCTTGCAATGAAACGAAAGTAGAAATTCCTCCATTTTGTTTACACCAAATTAGCATACATCCCAAAAGGCCCTGTTAGTGTTGCTATGAAATTTAGCATCATACGTTTGTATAAGAAATCCGTAGAAAAAAAATGAAATAAAATAAAATTTTACGTCCTACTTTTCTGCACCTGTATGGGCTACTGAGGATGGGCAAACGCCATGCAGTGTGCAATGAGGGAAATTTTGTCAGGACAGCGACATTAGCCTACTCTTATTTTCGATTTCCAACTGTCGAGGGATCTTTACGTTAGTAAAAAAAAAGGTTGATGAAGATGTGTAAATAGTAAAAAATAGACATAGCAGGCGCATGTCCAAATTGTGTCACATTTATCCTAGATGCATTTTCCAAGCCCTTCTGATCCCAAACACCGACGAGGGGAAATCGAGTCGAAAAATCCAAAGATGACGGGTGGTAAGTATTGCGTAAGGGTTGTAATAAGGCGTACGATAATACACAATACTGACCGGTGGTAAGTAATGTGTACGGGTGATAATAAGGCGTACGATAATACACAATACTGACGGATGGTAATAAGGCGTACGATAATAAACCATACTGAAGGATGGTCAGTAATGTGTAAGGATGGTAATAAGGCGTACGATAATACACAATACTGACGGGTGGTATGTAATGTTTACGGGTGATAATAAGGCGTACGGTAATAAACCATACTGACGGGTGGTAAGTAATGTGTACGGGTGATAATAACCCTGTGTTCTTGGTTACCACCCTCAGCTCTTGTTCACCACCCTAGCTGTTGTTCACCGCCATCAGTTCTTGTATACCACCTTTAGTTCTTGTTTACCACCCACAACTTTTTGTTACCACCCTAGTTGTTTTTCATTAACCTAGCTGTTGTTTCCCACCCCAGCTGTTGTTCACCACCCTCAATACTTGTTTACCACTCACAATACTTGTTTACCACTCTCAGCTCTTGGTTACCACCCTAGTTGTTGTTCATTAACCCAGCTCCTGTTTACCACTTCAAATCGTGTTTTCTGCATTCAGCTCTTGTTCACCTACCCTCGGTTCTTGTTAGCCTCCCTCAACTCTAGTTTACCACCCACAATTCTTTTTGCCACCCTAAACTCTTGTTCAACACACCCAGGTCTTGGGTGCCACTACAATAGTTGTGTAACACCTAAAATTGTTAACCACCTTAAGCTCTTGCTCACCTACCTAGTTGTTGTTTACCACCCTCAACTCTTGTTCACCATCCTAGCTGTTGTTCACCACCCTCAGCTCCTGTTCACCACCCACAGCTCTTGTTCACCTACCTAGTTGATGTTTACCTCCCTAACACCCTCAGCTCTTGTTTACCACCCTAGCTATCGTTCAACACCACCAGTTCTTGTATATCACCCACAGTTCTTGTTTACCACCCCAACTCTTTGTTACCAACCTAGTTGTTTTCAATTAACCTAGCTGTTGTTTACCACCCTGAATAATTGATTGTTTACCACTCTCAGCTCTTGTTTCATTAACCTAGCTGTTGTTTACCACCCTTAATACTTGTTTACCACCCTTAATACTTGTTCACCACCCTTAATACTTGTTGACCACACTTAGCTCTTGTTTCATTAACATAGCTGTTGTTCACCACCCTTAGCTCTTGTTTGCCACCCTAAGCTCTTGTTCACCTACTTAGTTGTTGTTTACCATCCTCAGCTATTGTTCACCACCCTGGGTTATTTTTACCACCCTAGCTGTTGTTTACCACTCGTAGGTCTAGTTTAACAGTCACAATTCTTGTTTACCAACCTACATTTGTTTACCACCCTCAGCTCTTGTTCACAACCCTCGTTCCTGTTTACCACCTGCAGATCTTGTTTACCACTTCAAGCTCTTGTTGACCACCCTCAGCTCTTGTTTACCACCCCCAATACTTGTTTACCACTCGCAGTTCTTGTTTGCCAACCTCAACTTTTGTTAACCACCTTAAGCTCTTGTTCACCAGCCAATGCTCTTGTTGCTGTTAACCACCCTAGATGTTATTGATTAGCCCAGCTCCCGTTTACTACCCAAAAACCTTTCTGCCTTCAGCTCTTGTTTACCACCCTCGGTCTTTGTTTACCACTCGTAGGTCTAGTTTACCACCCTCCGTTCCTGTTCACCACCCGCAGTTTTTGTTTACCACTTCCAGCTCTTGTTCACCACCCTCACATCTTGTATACCACCCCAATATTTGTTTACCACTCACAATTCTTGTGTACCACCGACAATTCTTGTTAACCACCCTAAGGTCTTTTTTACCACCCTCAGCTTTTGTTCCAGCTTTCTTAAACTAATAGGGAATGTCAGGAATTCGCGTTTTTGGAATCCGATTCTAAAAATCTTCAAAGGGTGGGATCTCCCACACACTATATAAAAAATCCTTAAATTTGCCAGGAAATGTCAAGAAAAAACGCTTCCGGGCTTAAAAAAAAACAAATGCAGAGCCACGTGAGGTTTGTAGGTGACATGAATATCGAGACTAAATTACATAGAAGTGACTCAAAAAAGTGATCGCCAAATTGACTTTACACCGGTTGACTATAGATAGCCATCCAATGGGACAGCGATTATCAATTATTTTCGTACATTTTTCTGAAAGGAATTGCAAAAAAGCGTTTCTAATGAACATGAAAAAACATTATAATGCATGTAACGCTATAGCCTTCACAGCTAATAATGTCAGTCTCTAGAGAAATTAAAGTTTTAAAAACGGGTGGCAAATAAAAAATGAGGGTAGCGAATAATTGTTTGCCACCCGGGTGGCGAATATCCTCGGCCGTAATGTTAAGTAATGAAACTCACATTGATCACAATATTATTATTTATTGTCAAATGGCGCTTCACGCTGTACTTCTATGATTCATGTATGACTACTGGCACTGAGTACTGGCTCAAAGAGCCATTGCATGGGAAATAATAGATAGAAATGTCCAATATAAAGCAAGACTCCCTTTGTAGAAACTGCTTTGTAACAGTTTCCTCAACAGGGCTTACTCTGAGTACTGGTTAAAATAATCTATCCGTTATTGAACGTCTCAGGCTTTGTCCTGTGGCAACTACACATCTTATGTGCCACAGCAAAGGTTTACAAATATTATTGAATAATTAATTACTGAAACACTTTTACTTTTTTTCAGGGCTATATTCCAAGACAGGCACTTTATGCTTGTTCAACTTGTGCAGCATCTTCAGGCCAGATAGCTGGTATCTGTTTGGCATGTAGTTATGAATGTCATGAGGGCCATGATTTGTATGAATTGTATACAAAGAGGTTGGTAAATTAGAATGTCAGTGTTGGTGTGATATGGAAGTTTTGATATAAAAACCAATAATTTAGTGATCAAACTCCAGTTTTCCAAAATTGTGAAAGTAATAATTGTAAATTCCATGAGATTCATGTTTTTTTTTTCCTTTGTGGTTTTTGTCAATTGGAAATGAGAAAACTTTAGTTTTAATCCTTTTTACCTTAATGGTAGCACTATCATCCACTTAATTATCTATGGTGACTGTTCCCAGGTGATCAAACACAGCAATTTCATACTATACTCTTCAAGTTTTTATCTTCAGGGTTTATTATATTTTTGATTTTTATTGCTTAGCCTTCATAGGATTAAAACATCAAAGAAAATAATACTGTTAAGCCCAAATTCCATTTATGTGCTGTAAATATATTAATTTGTTATGTTTCTTTTATCAGGTATTTTAGATGTGATTGCGGAAATGAAAAGTTTTCAGATTTTGAATGTAAATTGAATAATGTAAGTGTATGAAATTGATTCATCTAAGTTCATCGTTATTATGTCTCCAAGAAATCAAAAAGAAAGATATGTCTATAGTCTATTTTCAAAAGTTATATTTTCCTGCTCTATGTGACAGCAAAACTTATCTTGTTTTTTTTTTTAATTTAGAGCAAAGGGGGAAACAATAGTAGAAATAAATATAATCAGAATTTTAAAGGTTTATATTGTTCATGTGAACGTCCCTACCCAGATCCAGAGGATGAGGTTTGTTTTGTTTAATAATTTTTAACTGTTTCCATCCATATGATCTAAATTTTGTTTCATCAATTATTCAATCAAGCTTTTACTAGTGGGTCTAGGGCATCAACAATCAGAACAAGTTTGGCTTTAATAAAACTAGAAATGTAAGAAATATGGCACAGAAAATTTTATCTTATGATCTCATTTAATAAGTCTATGATAATATGCAAATACCAAGCTTTTCTGTAATGATAGATCACATCTTTTGCTTATTTTGTATAATTTGTAATTTCTAGACAGAAGATGAAATGATACAGTGCTCATTATGTGAAGATTGGTATCATGGAAGGGTAACTCACCTTTATAATTTACACAGATTTCAATATGCATTTGTTGCAAATTTTCTGTTTTGCAAATGAATATATACTTTTAGTACCAGTACGGTATAGTGCTGTTCTGGCCAGTGGTATTTCTATTTATATTGGAATAAAAGCAAATAAAAGTTTGTTTTGAGAGATCTATGGAGATTTCTATATTTATGAAATGACCCCCAAAGTATCGGTAAAATCTCCCCTGTACCCCAAATGGGAGCCTCAGGTCCCCTTGACCCTCAGCTGATCTTTTCCCTTCCTCTATTTTTCCTTGTTTCATACTGGGATCCCTGAATCTTTTTATTTCATATTAATGATATTTTTTTTAAGCATCTGGGAATTAAAGATACACTACCATCAGATTATGAAGAGATGATCTGTCCGGGTTGTATCAATAAACATGAGTTTCTATTATTATATTCACCAGCAAAAATTACAGGTAAGAATAGTAATGGAAACTATCTAATTCATTATTCAGTATGCTTATTATGTTGTGTATTGATATTGTAATGTTTTCTTTGTATAATAAGAAGCTTCCTTTGTACTGTTTCTTCCTCATTATAAAGAATATGAAAATAAATTTCTAATTTTATAATTTTGCACCTTAAGTGTGTAGATTGTTTATTACCTGTTATATTTCAGAC